AATATTTGTGTCATTCTCAAAACTTTTGGACACGACTTTATATTGGCTATCACATAGGGGGCTTGTTATCCTCCAACGTGACAGCAATAACGTTAAGTGTGAAAAAAAAGTTTAAAAAAATTCTCATATATATATATAAAAAAAAGAATTCAAGGCCCCCCGCGTGCACGCACATATAAACATAAATACACGTCAGGTGCGCCTACATGCGAAAACAACGATTACACCACACGTTACATATTGACGCGAATGTGGAAGTGTGAGCAATATTTTAGGGCCATTAATCACTGATAACACTAAAGTGATGAGTGGTAAATGCTTTTAAAGCGTCACCTATGGCCAATTTTAGGCATGGTGTTTTTTGCGATTTTGGGGGCGCACGCAATTTTAAAGCTCGAGATGTTTGGTGTCCATTTACCCGATGTGACACTATGTTTTGCCAAAAAATTGGGTACTGACAAATGTTTTTTTTTAACATAATGTAGGGAAAACAGTTTTTTTTCCAAAATTGTCAGAAAATTTGTAAAAAAATTAAAACGCTAGTGGTGATTAAATACCACCAAAAGAAAGCTCTATCCGTTCCCAAAAAATTGTATAAAATTAATTTCAGCACAGCATTGGATGACGGAATAAATGTCAAAGTACCGCAGCACTGAATACTGAAAAATGGCCTGGACAGGAAGGGGGTTTAACACTCCGGTCATCCAGTGCTTAGAACAGAATACCCAGCATATAACAGTCAGATCCTTAAACACCAGTGTATCCTCTAAAGGAATATTCAGTGCTGCATTAAAGCAGGACAATAGCAACAACAGTAGGACAGTCCTCGACAGATAATAACAGTAGGACTTCTGCTCGACAGATAATACAACAGCAGTTGCCTCCCCATTAGGTATCTCAAGGTATCTCACAGGCTTCCCTAATCAGAATAGGGCTGTTGCATGCACTAAGGCAGAACTGTGGGACTACAAGGATCTTTATTATCCTGCCTGTCACCTAGCAAGGCAGTTGGTTGCAGGTCTTGCAGACTGGAGAAAAAAATCCCTAAAAAAAAAAACACAACAAAGGGAACTGACTCCCAGCAGGGAGCTTAGGTCCTTACTGCTTGACACTATGCAAAAAACTGAGCTACTTCAAGCAGATGGGGGGTTTGCCACTGCCTAGTTCCCATCTCTGCTGTGTCCTTCAATAAACGGAAGAGAAAAAGTGCTATGTATATTTTTAAGCACATTTAAGCTCATTAAGGCTGGCTTAAAGCAATACAGATTACCAGGCGAAACTGAAAACAATAACACACCGCGAAGATGTAAATGGGTTCTGTAAGTTTTTCTTGCTTTGGGGTGTATTGGCAGCTCAAAATGAATGGGCTTCAGTGACGAAATGCATTTTAAAGCATGTCCCACACTGAAACACAGCACAAAAATTGTGTGAGTGTACGTGGAGTGGCGTTGTTTGTGTATTTTTTAATACTTTTTTATACTTGAGAGCAGTCACTAAAGGACAAAACCCCCGGGGATCTCCTAATGTCTCCCCATCTCTCCTTTGTGCTGGATAAAGAAACAGAGGACAGAGAGTGCTTGGTCTCCTCCTCCTCTGGCACCCAACACTGCCCTAAACTCAGAAGTACTCATGAATATGAACTTTCAGTTCAGTTTTAGTCCGCATTAGATGGGTAAATAGGGTACAGTTTACGAGGAAGAAAAAAAAGCCAGTATTGAGAGAGACGGATGATCTAATTGACAGGCCTTTAAGCAATAGCATAGGGAACATAGAAAACTTTAAGAATTGATGTGATCACATCCATTCGGAGTTTTCTATGCTCCTCCATGCAGTCATTCACTGAGTTTTTAATTTACATTCTTGGAAAGCCATTGCAGCAGTGTGGGCAGTGGCAAAGCTAGGCATTCAGTCACATGGGGCAAAGACTCAGAGTTAATATCCCCCCTCCCCTCCCGGAGAAGTTCTCCATCCACATACCCGCGCCCCCACCCCACACTTCTGGGCTCTCTTCTTCTTATGTCAGGCACCCCTCCTGATCTACCACAGAGGTGAGGCTTCAAATCGCTTCAAATGCTTCTGGGCTCACTTATATTTTCCCAGCGGTGCCCCTTCTAATCTGTCATGGAGGAGAGACTTGAATGAAGTGATTTCAAGCCTCACCTCCATGGTGGATCAGAAGGGGCACCGCCGCACCAAAAGAAGAGAGCACAGAAGCGGGTCTAAAAGATACTGATTTGCCACGGAAGTGAGGCTTAAAATCACTTAATTCAAGCCTCTCCTGTGTGGCTCAGCTGGGGATTTCTGAATGCTACAGAGCAGAAGTGAGGCTTGAAATAGCCTCATAAAGTGCCACTCAAAAAGTGCCCTGCTGATCGCTATACATGGAACTATACACATGGTGTAGATGACATTCAGAAAGGGTTTTCATTGGTGAGCAAAGTAAAGAGCGTAGTAAAGAGCATACTGTTCAGTAGTAAAGAACGCAGCACACGGTAGTAAAGAACGCAGAGTGTGGTAGGAAAGAACGCAATGCACTGTAGTAAAGAGCGCAAAGTGCGGTAGTAAAGAGCGCAGCGCACGGTAGTAAAGAACGCATCGCACGGTAGTAAAGAACGCAGCACACGGTAGTAAAGAACGCAGCACACGGTAGTAAAGAACGCAGCACACGGTAGTAAAGAACGCAGAGCACTGTACTAAAGAACGCAGAGCACGGTACTAAAGAACGCAGAGCACGGTACTAAAGAACGCAGAGCACGGTACTAAAGAACGCAGAGCACGGTACTAAAGAACGCAGAGCATGGCAGTAAAGAACGCAGTACTGTTCCATTACAATACTTCTACACAACACTGGGCACCTGGAACAATATATAAAGACAAAATCAATACAATCCTCAGCTTGACAATATTTATTTCTAGAGCTGCAACAATTATTCGATTAAAATAGACGATGGAAAACGCTGTCAACGTTTTCCATCGTCGATTCGTCGGCTAAAATGTAAATGTCCCGCTCGCCGCAGCTCACGGCTCCATCCACGAGCTACGCTACGTACGCCGCATACGCCACGCCCACACGCCACGTACACCACACCCGCCGCACACACACGCTAAGCCGGACACATGCCTGCAGAGCACGCCGCCCCACCGCAGCGACCTACAAGGGTTCAGAAACAGGTAAGGGGGACCTGTTTTAATGTTTCCTGTTTTTTTTTTTTAAAGCGGCACACCGCAGAACACCAGCAGCTATGGAGGAACAACAAATTCCAGCAATAATGCATTAAACAGCCTGTATAATTGCTGGGCTTTGTTGTTCCTTTATAGCTGCTGGTGTTCTGCAGTGTGCCGCTGTATTATACATTGGTATTCTGCATTTGATTGTATTGTGCACGGTACTCTGCATTGTATAATACAGCGGCACAATGCAGAATACCACCGACCAAAACATATATATATATATCTAGTCGGTGGTATTCTGCATTGTGCCGTATAATCATTATACAGCGCAATGGAGAATACCAGCAGTTACAGAGGACTACAAATCCCAGCAATAGTACATTATAGTATAAAGGACTATTGCTGGCATTTGTTGTATTCCTATATAGCTGATGGTATTCTGTATTGCGCCGTACAATCATTATACAGCGCAATGCAGAATGGCACCAGCTATAGAGGACTACAAATCCCAGCAATAGTACATTATAGTATAAAGGACTATTGCTGGCATTTGTTGTATTCCTATAAAGCTGCTGGTATTCTGCATTGCGCCGCTGTATAATGTACTATATCGCACACCACACTTTTTTTTTTTACTTCCACCGCTCCAAGCTTGCTCCCGTGATGGACTACAATCTCAATAAAAACTAGTAGTCCATCACTCAAGCCTTTTTTTTTTAAATCCGATTAACCGAACTTAATAATCGGCCAACTAATCGATTTTGAAAATAATCGTTAGCTGCAGCCCTATTTATTTATATAAAGAAAATATTTTTTTCTCTCCACTGTCATTCTGTGTTTTATTTAAATACAATTTACAGTTAGATATATTTCACTCACGACTTTGAGGCAAAAACCTACAACCTCTGAAACTTCAGTGGACTTCAAGCAGTGCCATTCTGCCATAGCCCTTACAGTCATAGCAATAAAAGGGTAAAAGTAAACCTGTCCCAAACCTGGGTAATTCAAACTGTACATAAAATGAGAAACTGCATAAGCAGAGGTTACCTTCAGTGAAAATCATATGTGAAAACAAAGATTTCAAAGATAATGGAAGCTGAAGTTTCATGGAAATATAAACCTTTTGTTTTAAAAATCAAACTTGGCTCTATGACCCTCCAACCTTATCTCTACTGGTCCCTTTTATGTAATGAGCAGGCTCAGGAAGTCCACCAGGGTCAAGTACAGAACTTGCCTTTTTCGACGGCTTTACTGGTTGTTTTAGCATGCCGTTTGAACTGAAGGAAATCAAATTTTCCATCAAATGCTCAATTTGAATTAACCAGGTATGCGACAGGTTTAAGCTTTTTAAAGAAGAACTCTGGGCAAAAATGTTCTTAACCCTTTAAGTGGTGTTATCCCCACACTGCAAGGGTTGAGTGCTCATTTTCATCTAGGTGCAAAAAAAAAGAAAATAATTATACTCACTTGATCCTCAGAGCCGGCTGGCTCTGAGACCGGTCCCTTCCAGCCTCTCTCCCTCTCCGTTCTAACCGTCTAAGGTCCTGTGAGTCATCACGTCCTATACATGTATAGGACATGAGGACGCCAAGGCACATACCATCGCTGCAGCGGGGGAGAAGACAGGTGGCTCTGAGTTTTAGGTGAGTATAACTTTGTTGTTTTTGCAAATAGACAAAAGTATGGGGGTTAATAAAAAAGTTGCAAGGGTTAATAAAAAAGTTGCCCATAGAAAACTTTTTTCACAATTATCCTAAACATTATGTTTATTTAAAGCTATTCTAACTGGGCAAACAGGATGGTGCAGTTTAAAACAGCCTTATAATTACCTCGATTGGCAACCAACACTTTTTTGATAGGTTTGTACTCCACACGGTGAGTGCTCTGGAAAGCTGCATTGAGCACAGATAGACGTTTAACACCCAGCAAGGTTAAGCCTCCTTTCACAAAACGAAGCTGCAACATCTGAAAATAAAATATGATAGAGTGATCACATAAGTGTTCTTTGGTGAATCTCTAGCGACATACAGATCACAAATTACATGGTGAGGATTATAAGAAGCCATCAAATACCGTTTGTCTGATGTAGACTAGGCCATTCCCACTATCCCTATGAAATACACATTGTTAATATAGGCTGAACCTTGTTTTCAAGAAGAAACAAGCTCTTCTTATGTCTAGGACATCTATTGGACCAAAACAGTTGAGTGCAGATTTGTGTATATACAGTAACAACTTATATCAACTGCAAAATTAAAATGTGTAGCACATTAAAGTGGACCTTTACCCCTTTCACTGGTCTAGGAGGAAGCCTCGGAAATTAAAGTAGCTGGATTTTACCAGAAATGGGTTACTAATAAAGGAAAATTAAGTCCTGAATATTAATTAGCTCCAGTTTTCAAGATACAGCTTCAGGTCAAAATTGCATCAATATAATTCAAAATTACAAGGGGAATGTGTGATTATGCTCCATAACTTTTCTGCAAAATGTGATCTAGCAATGAGAATGGTGACACACCAATCATTATAAATTTAACTTTTTATTGATAACAATAACATTACTTTCCATTCATTTATTGGTTTTTCACGTAACATTTTCATGCTTTTTGCATGAAAAACTGACAAGCTCAGATTAAAGGATGAGGTTCCATCTTTATTCGGTATCTAAACTGCAAGTTTTGGCTTTTCTCTTGTGAACTGCAGTAGGATCATCCCTGGAGAGATTCCATCAGTAATTGGCAAGCATGGACGGACTCCATTTCCCTAGGTATCTTTTCTCCATGCCTACGATATCCTGGTGGAATCTCTCCCCATGCTCATCACTCACTGACCCACAGTTCAAAGGAAAATAGTCTAAATGCGAGTGTAAGAAGTTTATTTTCAGTGACAAGTTTCCACCAAGTGCTTTATAGGACCTAAGCAAATTTTCCACGTGTTTTTCATAATCATCTGCCTTGCTGTTCCCGAGAAACTCTGTTGCCACGGACATAAAGGTTTGCCATGCCTTCTTTTCCTTGCCGCGCAACAGATGATCAAATTTGTAATCTCAGATAAGTTCTCGAATCTGTGGACCGACAAAGACGCCTTCATTGATTTTGGCTTCACTAAGTCTTGGAAACTTTTCATAGAGATATTGGAACCTGGTTTTGTTTTGTCCATAGCCTTTACAAAGTTCTTCATCAATACCAGCTTTTTTTACATTTACATTTTTATTTATTGACATTTTAGACAAGACAGAAAGAAAACAACACCGGACATCTCATATGATACATATAGACATATATACAGGACAGGTCTTGTATCTGCTTAACATTGACCTTTATGAAAAAAGAGACATATCCGATGCTTACACAGAGGAAAAAAAAATTAGCCTTTCTACAATGAGCTCATAATAGCGATATGAGAAGACCAATAAATAAAATAAAGAAAAAGAAGAAAAAAAGGGGGGAGGGAAATATATAATAAAAAAAAAAGGGGGGGAATAAAAAAAGGACCGGGAAAGTATCCAGGACATGGCAAGTATAGTGTGATATAGTGACAACCCAGTTTAGCTACGGAGGCTGAAGAACTTGTAGATATTGCATCCACGGGTTCCAAATCCATTCAAATTTATCCCTAGTGTCTTTGATAATACTATTAATTTTCTCATGTATCATTATCCACGACGGTTTAGCAGTGACTTGTTTGAACGAGACGGTTTGGGTTTTCCAGGCTTGAGCCAGGGGAGTTTTGGCAGCCAAGAAAAAGAATGACAATAGTTCAGCTTCAGGCTTGGACAAACCGTGGAGCGGACGATTTAATAGGGCATACTGTGGGTCACGAGGTGGTCGGATGCAAACTACTTTATATATCAAGGCATAAAGCCTGTTCCAATATGGACGGATGCATGGGCATTCCCACCATATATGTAGCATTGTTCCAGTGAGACCACACCCCCTAAAGCATAAAGACGATTGCCCAGGGTAGATGGCCGCCAATCTGGCGCGCACCATATACCAACGTGAGAATACCTTATAATTAGCTTCGACCAGGGATACGTTTAACAATCCTTTAGTCAACCTGGAACAGCATGTATGCCACAACTCCAGAGGCAACTCAGTCTGCAATTCCTTCTCCCAAGACAACATATAAGACAGCTTGGAGGAGGAGTTAAAAAAAGATGAATAAATAAGAGATATTCCTCCACGTGATGTATCTGACTGCATGCACCATCGTTCATATGGGGTGAAAAATTGAGAATCTGTTGGAGGAAGGTCTAAAGACTTCAAAAAGTGATGAAGTTGTCTGTACCGAAACATCTCAGTGGGGGTCATATTTAAGGTGTTCAGGCAGTAAGTCAATGTGAGAGATTGGCGGTCCTTGAAAAAACAACCAATAAGATATAGACCCTTATCAGTCCACCACTGAAATGCTCGTGCTTGAGTCCCCAGTGGGAAGGCAGGATTGCAGACTATTGGTGCCCGAGGAGTGTGTGTCGATGTCAAACCATAAAGCCCCCGGAGACGGTCCCATAAAGCTACGGAGGAGGACAGAGTCGGCGTGAGGACAACCGGGCGACATCTAGGGGTGGTCCACATAAGAGCGTCCACCGGTGTACCAGATGCCGAGGCCGACTCTAGTGCTAACCAATCCGGCTGGTATCCTATAAAATATACAGAAGATAACTGAGCCAATTTAGCCGCCCTATAATATAGCATTAAGTTAGGGACCCCCAATCCTCCAAATTCTTTAGGAGAGTGCATGATAATTTTAGAAAGTCTCTGGGATTTCTGGCCCCAAATAAACCGCATAAGATATGATTGGAAAGACAACAGATCAGCCCTAAGGATAGCTATAGGCAGTGCTCTAAAGTAGTAAAATATTTTTGGCAAGAGGGTCATCTTTAGCGCATGTATGCGGCCAATCCACGACAAGGTACAAGAGGACCACCTGTCTACATCTGCTTTTAATTGTTTATATAGTGGGACATAATTGCATTTATATAGGGACAAATAGGACGGTGTGAGTTTAACCCCCAGATATTGTAAACAGTCATTTGACCAAGTAAACGGGAAGGCTTGGATAAGGTGTGTCCAAACATCAGAGGGCAAGTTAACATTGAGAGCCGTTGACTTAGAGGCATTGACCCCAAGTCCAGAGGCCGCTGCAAACTCCTCTAAAATTCATAGAATATTGGGGACCGATATAAGAGGAGATGTAACAAAAAGCAATAAATCATCCGCAAAAAGTGCACATTTATGTTCTACTCCCCCACAGCTTACCCCTCTAACATTAGCCGAATTGCGGATGGCAATGGTGAGGGGTTCTATCGCCACTGCGAAAAGCAGTGGCGATAGGGGACATCCCTGCCGGGTGCCCGTGCAAATGTCAAAGGGTTCAGAGAGATGCCCCTGAAGACGAATCTGAGCCGATGGGTTAGAGCAGTGGCGCCCACAATTTTTCGTCTGGAGATCTACTTTTCAAATGACGAGCTCATTGAGATCTACCAACGAAAAAACACCTGCATTCAGGGGCGGGAGGGGGCGTGGCGGTGCATTGAAGTCAATGGCACCGCAGCCAGGCTCCGCAGGCAGGCCCCTCGCCCACAGTGCGATCGCCTGAGCGGAGCCGCTGTGACAGAAGGGACGAGCAGTGACGGGAGAGAGAGGCGCCGGCTGTCAGATCCTGGCCGAGCGTCTCTCTCTCTCTCTCCTCACCGCTCTTCATTAGTTCTGTGACAGCGGCTCCGTCCTCCGCCCTCCCCCGCCGCCGGTTCCTTCACTTCTTCTCGGATCCCCGCTGGGGAGAGCAGCGGGGATCCAGAGAATTCAGAGCATTAAAAAATGACTCCAGGTGTGAAACCAGGTTATCCGAAAAATTTTTATAATATAAAGAGGGAAAACCATCTGGGCCCGGTGCCGAAGAGCCCTTAGCTTGCATAATGGCTAGTCTTATTTCAGCTTGTGAAATTGGTCCTTCCATGAGTTGGAGATGGTCGAAGGACAAGGAAGGAAGGGGGAGCTCCTGGAGAAAAGACTCTATTGCCAAGGATGGAGTCACAGGTGGGCATTTACATAAAGAGGAAAGAAAGTTGTGAAACTCTCGAAGTACGTTCTTTAGATTTAGGGTATAGATGCCAGATTTACAACGTATCCTGGGGGCTCAGTGTGTTTGAGGTATCGGGGATAGTTTATGCGCAAGCAGGGTGCCAATTTTGTCTCTATGAGAGTAATGTTTATTGTCAGTTCAGCGCAAGCTCTTTTCAGCACGCGTTGTCAGAAGCATATTAAGTTCCAAGCGGGTATTCTCCAGGCTACGCTGCAGTGCAGGTGTTGGAGTATTTTTATGGTCGTTGGACAGTTTTTGAAGAGTGGCTTCTAGTTCGGTTATACGCTTCAGGGCCTGTTTTTTTATTTTAGAGGTATAGGCTATAAGCCAACCTCTAATAGTGGCTTTGTGTGCCGCCCAGATCATTATGGGGAACACAGTAGGCATGATATTAATTTGGAAATAGGAGGTAAGTTGAAATTCTAACATGGAGCATAGAGCCGGGTCACTCAAAAGTGACTTGTTTAATCTCCAGCAAAAGGATCTATCTGGGTCTCTCATATGCGACAGTGATAGACGAACCATAGAATGATCCGACCAAGGTATTACCTTAATTTTAGAAGAGGAAATCAAGGGCACAACGAAAAAATGGTCAATCCTCGAATAACTCAAATGGACTGGGGAATAATAAGTATAATCTTTCACAGTGGGGTTCAGTTCTCTCCAAGTGTCCATCAAAGAACGGTAATGTAATAACCGGGCTAAGCCCATACCCATCTTGGATGAACGCTTAGCTCAGCATTTATCCCCGTGTGATCTATCTATGCCAATGTCTAATGCAATATTAGAGTCCCCCCCCCATATATCAGGTTACCTGCCACATGAGGGAGGAGGGTTTTCAGCATTGAACGAAAAAATGTTAATTGAGCGGAATTGGGGGCGTAATATGAAATAAATGTAAACAGGCGGTCCTCAATATGTCCCCTTACCAGCAAGTATCGACCCTCAGGGTCCTTAAGCTCCAATTCAAGATGAAAAAACTCACCGCTTTAGAAAAGAGAATCGCCACTCCTCTAGTTCTATCACCTGCATTGGCTAGATAAAACTGTGGATAGTGCCTGTGAAGGAACTTAGGCTGATAGAGACTGGGGAAATGTGTTTCTTGCAGAAACACAACATCCACATGCTGGGAGTGGTAGTAATTAAAAACTGTGCGTCTCTTGATTGGAGAATTAAGGCCCCTAGTGTTATGTGTTGCTAACATAAGGGGTATGCCTGTCAACATCATGGAGGTGCCGAAAAATCCCACCACAATGCTGGCCACAACCAAACGAACGGTATTGGGTGACAGAATATGCCCGGTTTACGATCCCAGATCTTATATATTAAAAGAAAAAGAAAAAAGAAAGAGAGAAAAGGATAGAACAAAGGAAAGACAGGGGAAAACACGACACAAAACCATACAATGAACCACAATTTAAACGCTACCCATTGTGGGTAGCTCACTTGGCGCGAACAGGGGAAACCCCCAATGGTCGAGTCAAGTGGAGGCGAACGACTACCATCGGCGGCCTAACCCCGCCCCAGGTATGTAACAGCTAATAAAAAAAAAAGAGAAGAAAAAAAACCAAAAAAAACCAAGCGGCTATTCTTTCCCAAAATACATTACAATCTATAATCTGCATTTATAAGCTGATCAAAAGTAACCCAATAGCTAAACAGTCCAGGCTACCACACTTCAACCAGACAAATCAAAATGGTAACTGAATAATTGGATTTATATTTATAATATCCCATAGCTTCTATTCAATGCTTAGATTCCTACATGATACATACTGAATATTAAGTGATCCAAATAAACTCATTAATTATAGGGATGCACCGATACCACTTTTTTGGGTCTGAGTACGAGTACCGAAACTTTTTTTTAAGTACTCGCCGATACCAATTACCGATACTTTTTCTTAAAGGGGCAGATCACATTTTTTCCAAAGCAATACAAAATAATGATTTTAGGTCAGTTTCTTAATATTATGAAGAACTGTAACTCAAAAGACAACATGACTGTCAAAAAATAAGTTTACTTTGCTTAAATTGTCACAAAGTTGTACTCAACAAAAGTTAGTAAAATCTCAACGTGCCATTTGAAAAAAGGCCACAGGATGGCGTATGGATAGGATGGAAGCAGATGGAATTGTGTAGAAAAGTGAAAAAACCTTAATTTAGCTTAAGACCTCATTCACACAACTAACAGCTGGCCCATGTTATATTAATACAGCATGGTCAAAGATAAATGAATCTTTATTTTATATAATATTGATTAAGCAATGGAAAAAACAATTATTTTATATTTATTCATGCTGTATTCACTCAGCTATGATTCATTCTCCGTCGTCTCCGTCTGCTTCATCCCCTCGTGTCACAGCCTAGTCATCTGTCAATGCCGGCCTCTTCTCACGCTGATTGGCCGATTGGATGATTGACAGGCTTCCCCACCAATCACGAGTGAGGACAGAGGAATTGAAGGCGGAGTCTGCTTTCGGCCGTTCGCCCGTGGAGAAGGAGATCGCGGCCATCTTGAATGAATGCAGACGCGGTCCTGTGTGCTGTGTGCGGCGGTGGAAGATGGCGGACACAGGTACTCGTTTTAGACATCCGAGCATTTGCACGAGTACGAGTACTCATGCAAATACTCGGTATCGCGGCCGATACCGATGCTTGTATCGGTATCGGTGCATCCCTAATTAATTATATAGCTTACACTAATAATTGTCACCTAGTGACTAATAATAACATTTTGTCTAACTAATTAAACACCATAAATCACCTTTTAAGATATTTTGTTATAACACAATAAATTAACTGTGAGTAACCATTTAATCACTCAATCCCAATAAAAACCTTCTGTTCACAAATTCTATATAACACCTAAGATAGTACATAATTAAAATCCCTTATCAAAAATATAACGGAAAGAGAAAAAAAAATTAAAAAAAATTTCTAATAGTCCTCTGGTCCTAAAATTGACTCTCCGAGATCGATTCTCAAGATCAATCCTAGCCAGAGCTTCTTAATTAAATAACTACTAGCTAATATCGCAACTCGCATCTGTGTCTGCAGGTCAAGTCCCAGTAACTTGCAATTAAATCAGGCCTTCCACCAAATAAGCCCCCTCCTCCCAAGTGAACATCATCTAAACAAGTGACATTTTTGTTCATAATAAACCCAAAGGTAAATTGTTTCCCATTATGTGTGACAGTAGACTACTAAGTAAACCTATTGTCCTCCATTTATAATTATTACTCGATTACTACAATTGATTGAAATAACTCAATATGTGAAATCCAAACAATACTTAAATCCAAACAATACTTAATTTCAGTTAAAAAAAAAACACATAGTGAATATTACTTTAATTAGTGTATCGTCATCCCCCTCTAAATAGGTAGGTGCTTTAGCTCTGTGCACTTCAATAAGCTGTGCATTACCCCTAAGGTCACAAAAAAAAATAAAAAAAATTATTTATTCCAAAATCATATCACTATTTAGTTTAGCGTGATTGGTGCATACCCCGAAAAACCCTTTGTGCCTCCCACCACCCTCTAATACAGTGGTTCTCAACCTTTCTAGGGCCGGGACCCCTTGGTAACATTTGCCAAGTTGTGGTGACCCCCAAAGGTAAAATTTAGGGATGACGCGGCTGCTGCAGCGACATCTGGAGGCGTGGCGGGAGAACTGACACTGCTGCGCTAGGAGAGAGCTGAGGAGGACTCTCACCTTGCACAGCGACCCACAGGTTGAGAACCACTGCTATAGGCAAAGACCTGATCGGGCTCTGCAGCTGGAACTAGAAGAATTGGATTTAAAGTGTGTGGCTATATAACGTATGAGGTACATACTCCGCAGTACTGTCACTGATAGGGATGGGCTCGGGCGTGTTCGCAGCTCCACGTGCCAAACTTCAGGTCCCCCTCTGCTGATTGGCAGCATCAGAGGGCGGTTGCAATAGCTAGTTTGCTATTGGCTTTTGCAAAGTGAAATAGCCAATAGGAATCTAGCTATGCATTCCTATGGTGTTTTTTTTTTTCTGACTAGGCGACCCCTGGAAAATCATCATTCGACCCCCGAGGGGGTCCCGACCCACAGGTTGAGAACCACTGCTCTAATAGAACCCTACACAGTCCCTATTTAATTGCCAGTTAATATTGAAATTCGGCTGTGGGTCATCAATTCTAGCCCTGGGCTACGCACACTGGCGTTCGCCCAACCGGGCCCCCCAGAGCGCAGTGGGACCTCCTCCAACAAAGCGTCAGAGGGGGGCGAAATCCAGCCCAAACGGGCCGAAGACCCACAGCCCTTACTCAGACTAAGTTGCAATACAACGTGTACCCAAACGCCATCTAGTTTAACACAAAATAAAATTTATATTCAAGACATAGCTAAACCATTTCCTGTAATAGAATATCAACCAGTCCCCCTATGAGGATATGTAGTTCTCAATTGATGCAAAACTGTTATTCTATCCTCCATAGGTTCTCATTATTTCGGGGTGGTTCTGGCTGAAGAACGTGAGTTTGGTCGGTCCCAAAGTGGTGACAGTGGGACAGTTGTACTTCCACTGTTGGTAGAAGCTTGAGGGGGACTTTTGCTTTGTTGTGAAAGTTCTATTGCAAACAGGCCCAATTGTGAGAGCAACACTTCACCCTCTGCAAAGGTAGCAAAGGAATAAGGTTTATTCTTAAGAAAGAAGTGTACTCGTATTGGAAAGGCCCATCTCTATTTAATAGCATGCTTTGATAAGATTTGAAAAAGGGGCCTTAAGGTTCTCCTTTTCTGGATAGTAACCAGGGAAATATCCGCAAAAATTTGTATCGGGTGAGATGCAATCTGTAATTCAGGGATATTCCGGACTTTAGCCATCAACCTTTCTTTAGTTTGATAATGGTGTGTTTTAACAAGGATATTCCGGGCTGGGCCATCAGGGCGGGGTGCAATAAGCGCCCTGTGAACCCTATCTAGTTCTAGCTTATGGTCAGTTATATCAGGAAGTATGTCTTCTAAAAATTATCTGACCGTGGCTTCTAGATCGGTAATCGACTCTGGGAGTCGTCTGATCCTGAAATTACAAATTCGAGACCGATTTTCAAGGTCGTCAATTTTAGCCAGGGCATCATCTAGTTGGGTCTGTACAGTTTGGATATAGGCTGTATTTTTATTAATGCGAGTGACCGTAGTGTCTACTTTTTGCTCAATAGCATCGATCCGAGTGCCCAACTCCTGTAAATCCGCTTTAATATCTGTTGTAATTTGTTTTGCGGTACGCGCTAACCCCTTGTCGAACATATCAGACAGTTTGGTAATCAGGGGGTAGTCGTCAGCCATGTCCATTAAGGCCTGGTCCCCCTTCAATGCACAGGAAGGTTTATAATCAACTGAGAAAACCCTCTGTTTAGATAATATCTCCTCTATTGTATGTTCGATCAGAGAAACAGTAGAAGCAGGTGATTTTTGATCAGGGGAGTCTGTACTCACTGTGGTCTGATGCATAGAGTCAGAGGAATCCTCCACATCACTGTGCCCGACTCGCGACTGCCTCTGCTGTATAGAAGAAGGAGATTATGCTGCCGCCATCTTGGATTTCTGGGTCTCAGGCCGTTGCTTCTGTGTCTGTTTTCTTGACTTTTTGGGTCTCCCCCCAGCCATCGAGGTATATCAGATGTTGTAGATATATTTATTAATCCCTCACTACAGAGGAAAGAGATCAGTCCCACAAAATGCTAAAATTACCGGTCACTAGTTCAGCATCAAGGTCTATATTCTGATCTATTACTAAAGGTCTTTACATGGGGTTTTGCCAATCGGAAAAAAAACAAAAAACCCCAATCAGGTTGTTGTTCGTTGAATTGTTTTTCCAAGGCTTAATAGCAGATAATTTAAGTTAAAGTATGTTAGACCTTTAATATATTCCTTAAGAGTTAGCAATAGCATATATAATTCCTTGTCTATCCCTATACTGGATCCATCAGAAAGCAAGATCAGTTCATACACTTCACTGGCACAGTGGTATTAAAAGCTTTAGTTAGTACATGCCATTCCACCTGTGACCAGCTCATATATCCAGCATCTCCAGCATGCATAAAGAGACTTGAAAGGGTTGGTGCTCTCAGCAGGCAAAACTGGCCTCTAAAGTGGATCGTCGTCCAGCTCCTTCCACCTCCAGTGTGCACTGACTCAGCTCGATCGATTGCAGAAAGGTATCTCCACACTCTCCCAGTCAGGCCCCGCGCACTTGATAACCGGCGCAGCTTTTAGGTGTCACCGCTCAGAGGGAGGAGCCAGCCGGCATTTCTCTAATATGCGACCAGCAATCGCGGCACTTGACCAGCTTAGGAGGGAAAGGGAAGCGAAACCACCACTTCGCGGGCCTTACACCTCGGGTCAGTAGATCTCCATATAGCCGCCGGATGCCTGGGGACGAGGTATCACGGCTGCCGTGGTGCGGAGCTCACCCGGTAAGCCGTCATCCTAGCGGGACTCGCGCATGCGCCGAAGTCTATCAATCCCAGCTTTATATGCAACGGTGGTAACAACATTTTCTGAGAGTCAACAAGAGCTGGATTTTGAACATTTTGTTTTCCTGGTTCCCAAGACTGTCATGATGGCCAGTCTTTCTTGACATAATGAGAATCTCTGGCTTGACTATACCATTCACAGAGGAAACAACAGTACTTTGTGTATCCACCCTGTAGGCAAAGCAACAGGGCAACAACTTTCAAATCACCACAGAGCTGCCACTGATGTTCCTCATAGTTTATACACCTCAGCAGCTGTTTCATGGTTTCGTATGTTTTTTTTCATGTGGACTGCATGCCTGACAGGAACGGATTGCAAACATTGTCATTGTGCAATAAAACAGCTTTGATACTCATTTTAGATGAATCTATGAACAATCTCTATTCATCTGGATTGTGGGTAATGTTAAGGGTTGTCATTATGCCATCAATATCATTGCAATAAACCAAATCACCTTCCACTATGAAATACTGAACCAGATCTTTTTGGCAATCACAGAAAATGGACACCTGGACATCACTCTGCAAGAGTTTCCACTGTTGTAATCTGGAGCCCTGTAGCTCTGCCTTACTCTTAGGCAATTCCAAATCCCTATCCAGGTCATTTAGTTCACTCTGTGAAATTAGATGTGGTTCAGGAGGAGCATACGGTGGGCTAAAGTTTGGGTCCGCTGACATTGACGGCCCCGGATCAGCTGCATCCTGCTCATCGTCTTTATCATAAGTCCTCACCATGGGGCACAGGATGCAGTGTGGATGGACTGTTTGGATATTCCATGGTCCACTTCTTTCTTGAGATCCCTTTTGCAATTGGGGGAACCATGCAAAAATAGCAGTTGCTACTATGATTGGTGGGTTCCCTCCACACCATTAGGACTGCGAAAGGCATGGACTTTTTCTTCTTGTTTAGCCAATGATGCTGATAAGTTGCACATGTAACTATAATGAGGGGCCCAACTCTTTTGCATCCAACTCTTTTGTCCTATTTTGCATCTAAAATATAGGTGGTATGTCTTTTTTATCACTGCTGTCATACTGCACTTTTGAGATGCAAACGTTACCTCACAACAAATGTAGCAGAAGTTATCTGTGTTGTTTATACAGTTTCGAGGCATCTTGGCTTCTGAGGGAATATATCACGCAACTGTTCCTAGGAAATGTTAGGCAATGACACTTTCACAAGCCACCAGATGTAACTGTATGATGCGTAGATCTGACCAAGACAAAATACTTTCTTGTATTAAAAAGGGGTATAGACTCCAGAGATAGAGACATACCCCTGTACAAAGCATTAGTAAGACCTCATCTGGAATATGCAGTTCAGTTTTGGGCACCATTTCACAAAAAGGATATTGTGGAACTGGAGAAAGTGCAGCGAAGGGCGACTAAACTCATAAAAGGTTTTGAGGAGCTCATCTATGAGGAGAGATTGACTGACCTGAATTTGTTCTCTCTGGAGAAGAGGCGATTAAGGGGGGACATGATCACCATGTATACATACATAAATGGTCCATATAGTGAGCTTGGTGCCAAATTATTCACTTTAAGGTCACTGCAAAGGACAAGGGGGCACTCTTTGCGTCTGGAGGAAAAGAGGTTTAACCTTTGCTTACGGAAAGGATTCTTCACAGTTAGAGCTGTGAAAATGTGGAACAGACTCCCCAGGGAGCTGGTTCTAGCTAGCTCAGTTAATTGTTTAAAAAAAATCTGGATGTATTCCTAAATGCACAGATTATTACTGGATATTGAGTTCTTATAGGTATATTAAGCATGAGAGAATGTTGATCCAGGGAATATCCGATTGCCTTATGGGATCAGGAAGGATTTTTTTCCCCCTGTGGAGCAAATTGAACCATGCTTCATAGGGAGTTTTTTTTGCCTTCCTCTGGATCAACAGTGGGTAATTGTGGGCATAGCGTTCGGTTTAGGCTTTTTTTTTCTCATATCCCTATAGGTTGAACTCGATGGACAGGTGTCTTTTTTCAACCTGACTAACTATGTAACTATGTACCTTGCAATAAAAGAACAGTAAATTACAGTTAGGTAATAATCTTTAGTCTCAGGCATCATGATCATCAAACAGCTCCCTCCCTTGTAGGCAAATATACTCGCCTGTGTATAAATCTTTATTGTGAAATATCTTGAAAAAACTTTAACTAACCAGCACCTTTATTACGTTTTCAAATTCATCTAATCAAAATACTGTATGTAAGAATTAACACATTTTATCTCGGAGGTCGATAATTTCCCAAAATTTGTAGACCAGTGAAATTCCTGATCACCGATATGAAATCATCTTACATTCATTTGTTAGCAAGGTCAGTTAGGGGTGATCAGATGTAAAACACATTTTTTATTTTATTTACAATTTCTTCTTTTCTACTTCCTGGTCAACTTTGGCACAAATCATGTAATCATGCATGTATTCGTGCCCGAATGTTGCATCCTGGGAAGGTTACATCAGCAGTGCATTGCTGGGAAATCTCACAGGATCTCAGGGAAAGGCATTTCCTCCCCTGAGATGATGTGCATAGTCATATATCCTAGTCACATGTGCCAGAGTTTCAGGAAGTAAAGGGATCTAGTAGCCTGCCCTTAGTAAACATGGCCATTGTGAGAAGAATAGGGAGGATAAGATAAATAAGGTAAGCAAAGAATAAAAAGCCAACCATTATCCAGAAGTATTTGTAGATGACCATTACTAAACATTGCGAATGTTGCCTTTGTTGTTAATTTGAAGATATAGGTAAAGTTCCACTTTAAATTTTTTAACCCCAGACCAGATCCAATGTACGGCAGACTGGGCAGTTAGAATGACACATACACAGCAACATCTCTGGGATCAGCCATCACACACAGTCTGATCCCTGTGGGATGTCCCCCGCACACGCGCGTGAATGGGCAGCTCCTTCCATGGGCATGCCACCCCACGTGCTCACCTTTAGCAGGTCCAGCAGGTGGGTGCAGCTGTGTTAAAGTGGCAACAGCAGTCTGTTGGACCCGGGAGGTGGGGGACACTGCCCCCACCACTTTAAGACAGCCGCATCTACTAGTTTTGTAACGCTAGTGTGAATGGTTAGGTGATGTGAGGACTCACTAGTAAGTCCATGAAAGGGTTGGCTGGCTGGGGGATGGTGCTCTCCTCCCACTGGGCTCCCTACATAGTTCTGGCCTTACTCCGCTCCATGTCCAGTACTTAGGCACTCTCACCCACTGTAGACTGCCACTGGCTGTCCATGCTTCTGGGCTGTGAACTGTGGGAGGGGCCGGACAGTGTCAAAGTCAGTGTTCTATAACTTTTCTCGACTGTGTCACTTCCAGTGGGGCCGAGTCATCCGAATCAGCTGTTTTCATGACCCCCTTTCTTCATGACATGCACACCTGGAAGAGATGCGGTAGAGAAATTTATGGGTTGAGGAAAATTATAGCACACTGGTAGTGGAGGGATGCCTCGTCAGTGCTCTGCGCGTGTACGACTGCTGCGACCCTGGTAGTTCTGCCACTAACTCCTAGCTGTAGAGGGACTACAAATGTCAGCACATTATACAGCAATGCAGAATAATACCACCAGCTATAGAGGACTATAAATCTCAGAAATACATCGTACAGCAATGCAGAATGGCATTGGCTATAGAGAACTACAATTCCAAGCAATACATTACACAACAATGCAGAATAATACAAACAGCTATAGAGGGCTATAAATCCCAGCAATAATACATTATACAGCAATGAAGACTACCAACAGCTATAGGGAACTACAATTCCCAGCAATACCATTATACAGCAATGCAGAATAGCATCAGCTATATAGGACTACAAATCCCAGCAATACATATTACAGCAATACAGAATAATATGAAGCTACATACTCTGTGTTGCTCTGGGTTCGCCACCTGATGTCTCCAGGGTCCCAGGAGGGTTGTGCAGGCTCTCACCAGGGGTCCAGAGAGTTTCACGGTTGT